GCCAATTTATATTATAAAGTCCTAAATTATGTGCAACTCATAGAATTACAAAATATGTAAAAAAAAGAGGGGGTATGAAATTCATTTAAATTTCTGCATCAATCTTTCATTAATTACAAAAAAAAAAGTTGTTACTCATCGACTTTTGTAATAACACGCTTTGAATATCAAGCTCAATGCCAATATTATTGCTAGCAAGCTATTGTAGATGAAGAGCATGACAAAATTCTCCATTAGAAAAATGGGCATTAATATCAATATTGGCTTTCCTAATTAATCTTGGTATGCAATAGTATAAATGTGTAATACCAATAATCCGTACAAAAAAACAAAAATAAAAAAATCTAGGGAGTACATAAAATGGATCAATGCAGTAAAAAAAAAAAAAAAAAAAAAAAAGGAAAAATCCAATGAAGAATAGAAGGGGTACAGTAGCAAAAAAAAAAAGGACCAATGGGTTAATCACGTGGTGAGTTTGATGAGTCAGTATCGCCAGCTCATATTCTGATTACTTACAAGTCAAAGTTCGGTCAACTCTGCCACTACACAATATGCCAACCCAACTCCTCTTGGGTTAACTGTTACCAGAATACAAAGAAAGAAATCCCAATCAAAATCATAACATCCCTTCTCTCTTTTCTCTCTCCTATATTTCCCAGCTAATCACATTTAAACCCTTTTTCCTCTTTTGCAACAACAATCCAATTTCTTTTCATAAATGCCCTGATTTCTTTTAATACACTCCTGTTGCTTTCATTTACCCCATCTTTCTTGTTCAAACTATTGCCATTTGACAGCTAGATTATTACCACCTCGCTTACTCTAAATCGACTTTACGTATTGGAGTATTAACAATCACACATTCAAATTTAGTACGAGTACGAGTATTCGCCTAGTCAATGTATGAATAGGCGATGTATGACTAATACAAACCTAATGTTCCAAATGATGGGGTTAGAAGGCATTATGGTCCAATCATGATTATTAACCTATGATTGTTCTGAATAAATACATTGATTTATATGTACTTGAGAAACCATATGAAAGGGGCCTACCATAGTACTGCAGTACTTGGTGTGCATATAATCACATGTACTAATGTCTCAAACATACTGTCTTTTTATGAATTATGCCATGTTGATCTTCTGGTTTCTCGGTTAATCTATAATAATGAATGAAATTCAATTTGAATTCTTGGTATGTTGTGGACCAATTGTTTGGATTTTCGTATGTTGTGGACTGAATACATCCACATAAATTCCCAATCATTTATTTCACTTGTAATTCACCAATTATCAGTAACACCAATTTCTTTTTATTTTTGGTCAGAATTCAGAAATATGAAAAACTTTGATATAAAAAGAGAGCCATTGATGAGAATGGCATCAAATTAGTACACCGTAGCTCCTAAAAGGCTGAGCATCCGGACAAGAAGCAAAGGAAAGGAGGAACAGAGCATCTATGAGTCATGAATTCAAGCATGAACCTAGCCATTCAATGCAAAACTTTTATGTCTTGCCAAAACAACATCATATCATGCATGAAGTACATTAACAGTTTTAAAACAACTATCACCACCCGGGTGCGTTGAATGTAAAAATATATTCATTTCACCGTTAACTTATCATGGGGTACTTATTTTTTTAACTATGCGTAGAATTTGACCAGAAGACACTAGTTCAAATCATATGGTCAAAGTTCAATCAAATTAATAGAATTTAGATCACAACACCTTATTTTAGGTGAAGAGAACATGTCATAAGTTTGTAAAAGGCTATATGTGGGAGTATCCTTTACTATAAAAGGCTATACAGGGGAGTATTCTTTACTGTATACTTTTTAACCCTCTCAAAACTAAAACCATTCCAAAATCCCTACTCAAGCCCCGTTATTGGACATTAATACTAACTTCCAAACTCAATAAAACCGCTTGGGGCAAGTCATCTAATTCAAAGGGTGTGTTATCTTCATCTTAAATATTAATTCTATTAAATTTAGCTTTTACATAATCCTAAAGGCTACGTTACACTATTATATCCTTAAATAAAACCTAAATTGAAAATAAAGAAAAGCATTCAAACTTCAAAGGCTCCTACTCTGTCCAGCCTTAAAGCCTGTGATATAAAATACTGAAACCCAAAGAGAGAGAAAGAAAGAGAAGTGGGGTTAAAGGAAGATGATAGAAACAGAGGGCAATACACTAATATTGGGTCCATCTAATATTAATTAACATTGAAAAAAAAAAAAAAAAAAACTAAGTCCTTTTTGTTTGGTTATGCTGTGCTGATACTAAAAATAACAGCCCCTTATTTTGCTCTCTTGTTTCAGTGCACCAATTCTCTCTCTCTCTTTCTTTCACTCTCTCATGGCATGTTTAGAGATGTACAACAACTCTCATCCTCCTCATTCTCAGCCTCCTCTTCCTCCAATGAGCCCTAGAATATCTTTCTCAAATGACTTTGTTGAATCTCACAATCACAATCACCATCATTTTACAAGATCAGAATTAGCACCACCTGCTTCTTCTGATTTTGAATTCTCTGTTACTAATTCTAATATCCTCACTACTACTGCTGATGAACTCTTCTCTAAAGGCAGGCTCTTGCCCTTCAAAGACAATGGAAACGGTGTCGGAAACGGAAACAGTCAGAGGACCTTAAGAGATGAGCTTCTTGTTAATGATGATGATGTTGGCTTCTCTCTTAAGCCTCCAAAGGGTTCTTCTAATAGATGGAAGGGTTTCTTGGGTCTTAGAAAGTCCCACATTGGCTCTAAAAAGCCTGAGAAAATGGATGTTTCTTTTGATTCTGGTAAAAGGTTTTCTTTCTCACTTGAAGATCCAAATCCTGCCAAATCTCCTCAGGTTTTAACCTTTTACTCTCACTTTTCAGCTTAAATTATGTACTAGTCTAACTAAACACAGGAATACTTCCTCTGTCCGGAATTAATAGTCACATTCCGATCCTTTCCTACTTCCTAGCTAGATTTACTGAATTCTGAATGTTTATTTGTTGAAATTTCAGGAAATGGTGAGCAATGAAGGATCAAGTAGCAATGATATGGAGATGGGAATTTAATTACAGAGATCAGTTTGGTGTACTGTTCATAGAGGGAAGGTGCAACTTTGACTGTTTTATCTTTTTATTATTTTTTTTTCTATTTACCTTCAATTTTTCAGAGGAGGTTATTATGGAATCTAGAGGATGCTAATATGTGGGTTAGTGGGTTGATTAATCACCTTTTTTGGGGGACTTTCTAGTGTTTTCTGTCCTAGAAATTTGTCCTTTTAGGTGTTTTCATGTACAAAAGGGGAAAAAAAAATTGTATGCAGGTTTTTCTCTCTCTCTTTCCTTTCTTCCTATTGGTTCGGAGCTTCAGATGATTAGATCTGTTCTACTTGTAGTTGGGTCTTGTAATGTACCTTCATTTCAATCTAATGTACTTGGGTATGTAATCAACAACTAGTTTACCTTTGATTTTCTAACACTACCCTTCCCCCCTATGGTCTAATAAACAGACCTTTTGCGAATCATAACATCATTATCATCATAATAGTCCTAATCACATTGTCTCGATACTTTATCGAATTTCGTTTGTGTGTGTGAATATCTCACTATGTGTAAATTGATAGCTTTATTTAAATTTTGAGGAAAGAGAGTTAAAAGGGAAATTGATGTAAACGTGATTATGTTAGGTATAAATGCTAATCAAAGAAGACGGAACTCATAAGAAAAGGTTGTAAGATATATGGATGTCGATAGATTTGGAAATTTTGATGGCTAATTGATGCGAACGGTTACTTTAAGGCAGGGAGGCAAACGGGGTTTTGAAATTAGATGTTGATGGGTATTGATTAGGCAATTGATACAAACAACCTTAATGTAAGTTTGTATATACGTAGTAAGTTTGTTTTAGATATGGATGTAGATGGACAAGATGGGTACAAAAAACTAGGAAGTACTCCGTACTAACTAATTGATGTAGAAGGTATTCTTTTTGGTACGGATGCAAATATACTCGTATTTTTCAGGTATGAATGTAGACGGGTTTCAAACCTAAACTCATTTGCAATAAACCCGAACTTTAAAATTGGTGAATTAACAAGTACACTATTTTGATAAGCCAAAAAAACAAACAGGAAAATAAATGATGAAAAGAGAGGGAATATACTTGGACCCATCAGTCCATCACCCTCATTACACAAATTGCACTTGTGATGTAAAATAACGGAAAATTTTCAGTGACATTATTGAGTTTTGTGAAAATGAGTTAAAAGCAAAATCTTGGTTTCGGACAAATTAAAAAGATTTCACTTGACCAGGTGATGGGAATTCAAAAAGAAAGGTTCCAAAAAAATCGACATCAAGTCAAAAATAAAACCATCAAATCAGAAAAATAACCAAATAATATCAGAGTACGTCTTTGAGGAATAACAGAAAAAATAACCAACCCCATATTAATGCAGCCAAAATAAAGTAAATAATGGACCCAAATTCACTATTTCAACACTCATTTGATTGATTGCTGCCATTTAAAAAAAAAAATATCAATTGTTGGATCTTTGATCTCAAATTTACAACGTTTAATAATGTTTGATTTAGACTTATCGCACATGCACCTTTTAGATTGTGAATTGAGGTTGAAGCCCTGAAGGAATACTCTTTATCTTCTTAAGGCAGATTTGCAAATACAGTACTAAACTCCCATATAGTCCCGTTGAATTTATTACCCGAATAGTTTCTACCTTTAGTACTCCGTATTTCCGTAATATTTGTACTTATAAAATAATAACTCTGGCGCTAGAGCCCGAGGTATGAGACATCTAAAACTTAAGTAAGATGGTATTAACTCGTATTTCTAATTTCACCCAAGTGTACTCAAATATGTTGTTGCTTATTGACAGCTTAACTTTGGTAATCTACACCTTGTTTGAGGAAACAAGGTGTAGATTACCAAAGTAAAGCTAAACAGGTAAAGAGGCTAATAATGACACTGTAATAATGATAACTACCACAGAAAACGTCCAAAAATATAAGCTAACCTTATTCTTCAACAGTTCAACTCGAGTCTATAGCTAAATAAGTCTTATTTAGAAATATTGATCAGGTTTGTAGTAGTTAGATTTTGGGTCTAGATCAAATTCGACCAGTCCAAATCGGAAAACCCAGTTTTGAGTATAATAGGAGTCAATATTACTAGATCTACATTCAGCAAAGCTTGATGGATTTAGACTAGAATTTTTTTTAATTAGTTTAGTCAAATAAACCTTAATAATACTCAGAAGCATGTTACCCTCACGGTCTCTTGACTTCTTAAGTTTGCTGTCGAAACTATGCTTGAATGAGATCACACTCCTAGAATACAAGATAAAGTCCCTTAGTATACAGCCAAGTGCAGTTCTTTAACCTCAAATACGTTCAACCAAATACTATATTACACATCTCAGATCAACCAGAAGTACCACTTCAGTTACTGAAGAGTTCTACAGGTTCAAATAAAAAATTCCCCCAAAAGCTAACAGATGCTAAGCCACTGCAAATATGTAGGTTCCTTACGACAAAGTAATTTAACCAATTTCAGCTATTCCATAGTTATCTATTCTAGTATTCTGTATTGCAATATTATTATCAAATCACTTATAAACCGCTAGTTCTATTTTGTTTTCATACAATAAGCCAATATCTTGCACATGCTTCGTATATCCTAGAGACCCTACTTACAAAAGCTTCCTTGGTAAACCAAGGCACTGATGTTACCAAAATGCAAAATTGCCTTGGCTATACATATGCAAGACATACAAAAGGAGATTGACTGCACATAATGACATAACAGGTATATATAACTAGTACGAGTATATACAAGAGATAAGAAAGTATCACCACCATTGAACACTGACCTGTTTCTGAAACCTGAACTTGTGATTCTCAATCTTCAATTTCAGCTCCTCAATATCACCAGAACGCTTGTCAAAAACCCGAAGCACCTCGCTAAGTTTTGCTTCAAGATCTTTAATCTTACTTTCAGAGACATCCTGCTCTGCACATAGGTTCTGATATTGCTGCTTGTTCTTGGCAGCCTCAGAGTCAGAGGCAATCCTTTGAAGTCGGTCTAGATGACTGCGCAAAAATCCGACTTTCATCCCAAGAATTTTGAGGGACTTTAGTTTTTCATCCCATATAGAAAATTCATCCTTAAAGTTATGGAGCTTACAGCTTTTTATCACAGCAGCAACATTGACAGTCTCAATGATGCTTCCAGCAATCAAGACAGGATTAATGCCTTTCAGGAGATTGATATGAAGCAATGTGTCCTGGCTGCAACAAAGTTGGTAATAGCTTTGCTTGATATCATGAGGAAGGTCATACTTTTTCTTCAGCAAATCATCAATTACTGTTTGGAACTCCTCAAAGCTTGCAATACCACTATCAACAACAAAGGAATCAGATAGCAAAACATGTTCGGAATTTCCAGGATTTACAGATCTCTCTTTTTCTATTTTATCTGCCTGCTGAATAATACAAGGATCATCTTCAGAGAGAAACACTTGGACTTTATCTTGAGCTCCTTCAGACAGAGAAGATGGTCGATTTGTTTCAATAGCATGCTCAAGGGTGCCCACTTCTTGACCTGAACATAAAATTGGTACAATTACAAACTCAAATCAAATTTATCACTCTCCATATAAAGATATAATTGATCCAAAATATACTTAATTAAGATGTGACTCAACAATACCACTTCGTGTAACTTCAGTTGGGAGACTTTGTATGACACGAGATTTATCATTCTTGGTCAGGTTACTTTTCCTAAGTATGTACAGCTGCAAAAGATTTGGTGATGCTTTAAAATTCAGAAACAATAAGGATTTCACGCGAAAATAACAATGAAAACGTTAACTTGGATAGTGTTATTCAGCTTGAGAAGCAATTCAGAGAGAAAACTTCACTATGTTCCAAAATTTAAAAAGAGATATGTCTTTGCAGTAATGTCATCTATTTGACAAGCTGAGTTGTTCTAAAAACACTTGTATGAAAAAATTAGGCAACTAGGCTCTTTTAGTTATGCTAAAATTGCTATGTGCTTTTCGACAATAACAAATAATAACGTTGGATCTACCTAAGAACAAATACAGTTTCAGAACATAAACAAATACAAGTATAAGACTCCATTCAACAATGCCTTCAAGTACTAGTCTTTCATCATTGACACGGTGCCTCTCCTCAAGTATCTACATAGGCCAATCCATAGTCCATCATGAATAGGGACATCTTGACACTCCAATTTGGTCCATTTGCTAGACAAATTATTAAAAATCTTCAAGATACTTAGAGTTGATACATGTAACATAACTTCTCTCAGACTTCTACTAACTTCAAATCTACTTCTGCATGTTAAGCAGAATTTAAGTTTTATCCTACAGTTTTAACACCTACTTGGCATACAATTCTATAGCCACAGATTGAGTCATCAACATTTTCCAGAATTATCTATCCAGGTGAAACTTTTAGTCTTCTATTCATGCTCTTCCGGTTGCAATTCTCATTCATATTAACGAAATTTTGAATTGACACTCTTAAGCTTAGACACGTGCAATGTTATAAAAGTTACTAAACAAAGTAGTCAAGAATCAAGACTGTGAAGGACAGCAAAAACAATAGAGGAAAGGAAAGCATACATATCCAAAATACTACCTTAAATCTGGTAGACTTTACTAGTTGGAATACCAGGACATCACCTTCTACCAGTTTTTCAGCTATAGAAAATCCTCTCCACCCACCACTTAATGCCGACTTTCTAGCAAGATATTTTGCATGGTACTGCTTACCATTTTCAACTTCCAAGTTAAATAAAGTATCCTTTTGTGGCATATTCGCCTTGCAAAAAGAAAGAGGAAGCCCCTAATGAAGATAAAACTGAGTTAGCACAGGTTACACTATCTCTGGCCTTCAAACATCAGAATTAACCTAGTTTTACATTACATGGAATATGCTACGCAAATCTAACATGGGTAAGTATCCACAGGTATAGCTCAGCCATTTCCAAATTACGGCCAGCTTTACGCCAAATCTAAATGGCCAGATTCATACCCATGCTAGAGCAGCAAGAATCCTACAGATGTCCTCTAATTGAAATGAAAAGTACATGTAACATAGTCAACATGAAAAAGGGACTTAAATAGAATAGTGCTAACCATCCAAAAACAGCTAGCAACGTGGGACTTCACCATTGTTTTTATAAAGCTAGGATATTGAACCGCTAATCTAGAGCGAAGCTCCTCAGCTTGACAGAGTATCGATGACTTAACGTTTTGCCTACAGATTATAGAAGTGCCCACATGTTAACAATTAGTATAAAATAAATGACAAGACCATTGATCTACAAAGTAATGCAAATGATATTTCACTAACCTCTTGACTTCCTTGTGTGGATGGAGCAAACTCTGTAAAATACACATCAATTAATTATTTCAATACACACCAACAAATTAGAAATTTTACTTCTCTCATTCCATAATAATCGCAACACTTTTCTTTTAAGGAAATTCCAAATTTATTACTTCTACAACATTGTTTATGTACACCCACCAAATTCTGAGAGTTCACTTTTCTATAAAATTCGACTAATTTTAATCTATTCAATTTTTGACAGCATCAAATAACCACCTTACACACAAAATTCACACAATCTATGAAAGCATTTTACATCAAACCAAACACACACTTGTTAATTTGTTATACATTTATATACTCGCTATTTTCCTACTTCCCTAGCAACAAGAGTATGCCAAGTCAAAGTTTCAGAAACGGAGTGAGTAGTGAGTTCTACGCTACCTCCATTATTTGCAACAATTTGACATAGAGTAGATAGGAAAAATGTTCTAATCGTTGCAAATAATATGAAGCGAACGTCCTCGTCACATGTGTCCCTCTCTTTTGATTGTACTTCATGTAATACTATAAGCTATTTCATCCACCATTAACGTTGTTTCCCGCGAAAATTTGCTGCCTTAACACTTAATTTCTTACTATTTGACTGGGTAAATTGCTAGATTCTTGCGATTCAACCCCAATATCAAAATTAAAGAATAGGAAATTATAAACCATTAACAAACTTCTTCATGCATACATTTCATCAATTTTGTACAATAATTTAATATGATTTTGATCATATGTAATTGGCGTAAATTAAAGTTACAATTATGATAATAATCGCAAAAAATTGTTACCTTGAGCGCAGAAGCTGACGATTTCCTCTTAAGCTTGACAGTAGTTGTCTTCATTTGACCCTGATAATAATTTCAGTAGCAAAATTTGATTATAGTGTTTAAAAATGAACGATTTTAAACCAAAATTTGGGAATTAGGGTTAAGAAAGACTAGAGAGTACAGAGTATGTTAATTGCTTCGCCTTCAATTCCGTCAGCGATCTCTACCGTTTTCTTGACATTTGGCTCACTCTTGTATTTACTCGTACTTCATAATTGAATATTCCACATTTCCTCCCCAAAATCAAGGGTTAAAACTTAAAATTGATAGTCCTTAAAGGTTATTTTTTTTTGACAAGCTCCTTAAAGGTTATTAGGTTATGCGATATGACATTAGTTTTACAAAGACTAGACAATTTTTTTTTTTTTTTGGGATAAGGAGATGGGATCGAAACTTGTCATAGGTCAATCCAACTCAGGTTAGTGGGCTAGACAATTTAGGAATGAGGGGAAATAATAAGGAAATCTCCACCCCAAATTGACTCTAGTGGCCGTAGTGGGGTTTGATTGAGATGACAAACTTACCACTAGACCAAACTTTATTTGGTGAGTAGTATTACACTGTTATGAGTACTAATGTTCTATCGGTTATTTACTTATTTTATTGTATGGTATGATATGAGGGTAATGATATGAAATTCATTCCAATTTCTTTAATAAGGCAAATCTGTATTAAATATTTAAATCTAATTTTTTATTTACTTTTTGAATAAATTTCATTTTATTTTTGAAGAAAATATAGTTTTAGTAGTTTGTTATTAGATAAATCGATATACGTCAATGTGAAAACACTTTGAAAAAAGAACTCACAGTCCACACCTACACAATATTGTCTCATATAAAACTTACCACACATGCACAATATTCTTCTGTAACAAATTTAACTCAATCACATAAAATTTCGCATAGGTCATAAAACAAAAGGACAAAGGGAATACTTGTGAAGTTGTGGGTGGAAATAAGCACAATAACATTTGTTCAATTGTTTCACAATAATTGCAACACCAATAGGGACACGATACTATTTTACTACTATAGTAACCACACTTGCATAGATATTTATTCTCTCTCTTATCAATCACACTTACATTATTTTTTTATATAACATTTTTTTCTCCCGCTAATAATTAAATACGAAATACATATAAATTACTTTATATCACAAAATGCATCCTTTGATCTTCACACTATAATTTTCTGAAATTTTGTACAATACCTAATTACCTAGTATTACAATTACTTAACTACAATACATACACATATTCTTAGGTGCACACTCATGCACCTAGAAATAGGTGTAACAACAACACAATATGAACATTAACTTTTGAAAAAATGAACATTAGCTTTCTTCTCCTCTATTTTTCTCCTTCGTTTTTTATTTTCTCTCTCCTCTGTTTTTTCCCCTTTTTTTACACTTTGTTTTTATTGAATTTGTTTCTTACAACATGAAAGTAGTTATTAAGTATGAATTTTTTTTTTTGTGAACTTCGATTTTGTGCTTTAATTTCGATTGATTAAGGTTTATATGAATCTTTGAATTCACAAATTATACTCTATTTTTTCTCCTTCCTTCTTTAATTCCTTTTTCCTCTGTTTTTTTTCCTTCTAGTTTTCTCGTTTTGTTTTGATTTAACGATTGAATCTGTTCCTTACAATATGAAATTGGTTGTTTATCTGATTTTTTGAATTCATATGAATTGATTTTTTTTTAGCTTTGATCAATTTCATATGTGTTTCATCTAATTTTCTTCATTTTTTTTATCAATGAACATAATCATGCAAAATATGAACATATGCATAGGTTCTTTAAATATGCGTAAAAAATATGAACATATGCTATTAAGAAAGAGAACATATGCATAAACAGACTTAATCAGTATATTTATGAACAATAAATATTTACTATGAATATTTACATTATGAACATATAAAATATTATTATGAATATAAGGCATTTAATTATGAACATAAAAAAAATTGAAGAAATAAAAAATAAATATGATTACGAAACATATGCATCATACGTATTCAAAATATGAACATATGCATTGGTCCATTTTTTAATGCGTATGAACATAATTAAGCATTTCAGAAGGTGAACATATACATAAGAAATATGAACATATGGATTTAGAAAGTGAATATATGCATTTCAGAAAGTTTACAAAAGGATTCAGTATATGAACATAAGAATTCAAAATATGAACATATGCATTTCAAAATGTGAACATAAGGTATCTGTTTGATTTCACTATTTTTTTTTGACAATTCCAATAAAAAATTTCGAACAATAGAGTATCGAACAATATTCAAACAAAATTAGGTGATAATCATATAAATTCAAACAAAATTGAGTGAAATTTACATAAAATTGCCTTTTTTTTCAGGGAGGATCATTTTGATTTTGCATCTTTTCTCTAATGTCCATTGATGTTTTTGCAGTTTTTTTAGTGAGATAAAATGAAATAGAGGAGAGAGAAAGTGAAAAAGAGGAGAGAGAAAATCATATAGAAGAAGAAGAGTTTTGAGTTTGGAAGTGACGTTACATTTATTGGGTGTGAGTGTGTGTATTGCAATTTTCATGTTTTTCTAGTGTTAGGGCTTTTCTTAATTGGGTTATGTGTAATTGGGTTTTTGGGCTATGTTGTTACACCTATCACCTTAGACTAATTGCAATACATAATAATTTATAAATGGGATGTGACCCCAAAGGCCCAAACCGATTTAGCACATGGGCTGGACCGAACTAGCCCTTTACCAATTTGATTTCGAGCCCATCCCTATCTTGAGGTTCATTGTTTATGCTTATTGATCTTGCTGGAGCACCACACAATAAAGAATCCAAATGTCTAATTATTCTGATTTTCTACATAATCAATTAATTAATAAGATTTGCTAATCCCGAAAGAGTAGCTCAAAACATCCAAAAAAAAGAACAAAATAGAGCATTTCTCTAATCAGCTACCCCGTATTATATATTATATCAGAACAAAAGCTACAAAAATATTACAAATTACACAACAATTTGAAACAAGAAAACATCTACTACCATTATCAAAATGCACAGCTATCTTCCTTGCAACTTTTGGCGAAAGGAACTATGATAAATCACACACTTGGATTGGACGGGCAATTTTTTGATTTTTTGAACAAGACTGGCCTGGGGTTTCCCTTCTAACTAGGGGTGGTTTTAAAAAAAAAAATAAAGAACTGGGATTGGACAGGATTTGTCTAACGTTACTCGTAATGAAGGTTATTACCAATTCACCAGGGGGCATGTACCTATTCCTGAAACTTGAGTTCATGACTGTTAATCTTCGACTTCAGATTATCGATATCAGCAGCACGTTTCTTATGGGCCTTCTTCAATTCAGCAAGTCTAGCCGTAAGACTCCTGATCTCATCTTCTGCGCGAGAATTCTCAGAACATAGCTCCAAACATCTTTGATTGTAGGTGGCTACTTCCGGATCATGCACAATTCGTTGTAGATGGTGCAAATGGGAACGCAGAAAACCGTTGTTCATCCCAAGAAGTTCAAGCGCCCTTAAAGTCTTATCCCATATGGCAAATTCTTCCTTGGAAGTTGAAAGATCACACTGTCTTAAAGCATCAGCGATGGTAACAGTCTCAATTATGACTCCACCTATCAAAATATGGTTCATCCAATGCGGAAGATTGGCATGAAGCAAACTGTCTTGACTGCAACACAGTTTATAGTAACTCCATTTAATATGTCGAGGGAGCTCATAGTCTTTAAGCAAGTCATTGATTACAATGCTAAAGTTGTCAAATGTTGAAACAGCACTAGGACTTAAAGCTGCTTCTTCACATATCGGGAAACCATCAGCAACTCTTGATCCAAACGAATTTTCAGTACTGTTACTTTCTGAGTTTTCAGGTGGCTGCATACTTCTCTGATCAACTTGAGGCAAGTCTATACACTTTCTGGCTCCTGTGGTGAAGTTATCAGACTAAAATAATCAGTATGGTTGAGACTTTAGGATATGCTCCCTCCATCCCAGCTCAAGGAGTATAGACAGGATGAAGAACATTAGAGAGAAATTATGTAGTGAATGTGTATCCCAACTTCGAGCTGGAAAAACAATTTTATTACGGGTAATGATAACTCCAAGCTGGGACAGAGGGGTTATAAGTATATTAAAAATTGAGACAAACCTACCAGGATCACTTTGTTTTTCGGGAGTATCCAATTTTAGCAGGAACAGAGCTCCATCTACCTCAGTCACTTTATATTCTTTTACTATGTAGACCTACGAAGGATTTTATATAGCTAATATAAGATCAAAGTACAATCAAAGCTATGCTCACCAGCTGCTAGTTTAACGTTGTGCTTGAAACAAGTGTAATCAAAATCGAGATCTTTAGTTCAAAATTTGTTCATTCCTCTTAATTTTTTTGGGGCAGATGAATTAATTAAATAAATAGGACACCAAATCTTTTTTCTGAAAGACTTGCAATAAATTATGAAGGATTAGTTTTGTTATCTCTCCACCAAACTCACAAATTTTGCTCATTCCAGGTTTTTATAATAGGCTTTACACTCATCATATTTCTACCATTCTAAGTTCTCTAGAGTCTGAAGTAGCCAGCACAACCTTTGCAGAAATATCAAACTTAACGTGCAAAGAAACGACAAGATATGCCTAAGACAAGATTACCTTAAATTTGGCTTCTGCTATTAGCTGAAACACAAGAACATCTCCTATTAACAATCTTTCAGAAATAGCAAATCCTTTCCACCCGCCACTTAAACCTGTCTTTCTTGCAAGATATTTTATCTTAAATAGCTTCTTACTTTGAGTTTCCAATGTTATGATGGTGTCTTTTGGTGGTAAATGCTTCTGGCAGAATGGCGCAGGAAGTCCCTATATCCAGAAAAATCAAACAAATTGAATGAATAAGCAATACAAATTTCAGCAATAGCCAAATCTAGGTGTTTTCACATATTACTAGACTAATGCTTAGTTGCTTACCATCCAAAAGCCACCAGTAACATGTGACTTCACCAAAGATTTAATAAAGCTTGGATATCTCGGATCCAATTTGGATCGAAGTTCTTCAGCTTGAGTAGCAGCAAAGGACTTAGATTTCACATTGAGATTTTTCTGAACATTAAGCTTACATCTTCAAGAAAACAGCCAGCAGTTATGTCAGAAATAACAGATTATAGAGACAATAGATGATTAAATTTAACTGAATTCTTCAGACAATTAGAACAACCTTTTGGGCTTTCTGTGCTGATGCCATAACCCCTACAAAGGACATATTCACCAGTCTGTTGTAAGAACTTTGAAATAAACTATTTGACTTAATTAAAAGTAAGAGGCACACAAGAATATGTTAATAGGATTTGCCAATAATTTGAACAGCAATGAAAGTAACATTCTCTAAAAAGTCATTTAAAGGACTAATTACGTGGTCCCAGCCCCTGTCGCGTCCCGACCCACTTAGCTTCGCTTACTTTATGTAGTACCATAACCTTCAGCCGACATGAATTTTTTTTTTCTCAAATCTCAATGATTTGAAAAGAAGGAAATTCTTCTATCTAGTGCACTAATATGTCCTTAATGTAACATGAATCAGAGCATATTAGGATGCACTTTCATCATTTCATGTAGGATTCATTAGAGTACCAGCATACTATACATAGCAGCACCAAATAATGTACCATTATATAGATTCTTTTGACAGAAATGTACATACTATACTATAAATAATACATAGCAGCACAAATTAAATGTATGCTGGTACAAAATATACCTTAAGCCTAGTGTTCAGTGATAGAACGCTTTTGATTGTACCAAGTCCAATATTTTTTTTTTGTTCTTTATTTACTCGTATTAATTTCTCCTTTAACATTATTTGTATGAAAGAAGGGGTTAACTTTTTTAGGTCGAAAGCAGTAAAGCACAAACAATTACTACACATACTAAATAAAGGTTGATTGCAATCTAGAAAATATTGCAACCACCTCACAAAAAGGGTACCTAAACATCCGTTCAAAAAAAAAAAAAAAGTACCGAAACATTATACTAGCTGTATAGACCATATTATATACTCCGTTACATATTATTCGTAACAAAAAAATATTCTTGTCACGCGGGTCTCTATCTTTTTCTCTCTCTACATCTTAAAATCAGTCTCTAACATATGCATAGGCACACAGCCATTGAAAAGGGACGGGTCAGTCCAATTATTTTCTCATGATATCCGAAAATAGAAAGCAATGTCATTTAATTAGTAAGGACTAGGAAATAAAAATCAACGAATAGTCAATCAGCTAAAATTTTGGCAATCAATCACCCATCAATTAACCCCAGTAACCATAATCATCATAACAAATGCATGTTGTTTACCTTTTAGATCTTTCACGATTTACCAACGTAATTATTTAAAGTGTTAAATAGAAACCAGCATTATACTTGTATAACATTCCATTAAAAGACGGGACCATAATTATTCATCGATAATCGATATACATTACTCCGTACTTTATTATTAAAAAAAAAAAAAAGAACGGAGAGAGTAATAAGAAATCCCTAGAATGAAGAAAAACTTACGGAAATATCAGAAGAAGAACGAGACCAAGTCCTGTTGACGTACTTCCTCTTACTCTTCCGCTCCTTACTAGATGTTTCTTCCTACAAATCAAAATCAATTTAAATGCTACAACTAATTTACTAAATTTTTAAAAAAATCCTAAATTGGGTGTTTCGACTGTATTTAAGGAGAGAGAAAGAGAGACAAACTTGGAAAGGGATAGGGATAAGAGGAACAGACATTATTATTATTATTATTGTAGAATTCAGAATGATACAATAATTAAAACAAAAAAGTTGAAGAAGAAGGCTTAGAAATGGGTGGTTGTATGAAATTGGGTTGAATGTTGCGATGAATTGTTAAGGCAAGTAGCTGATAGATGTGCAATTGGTACCACTTGACAGTTGACACACCCCCATTTAATACAAACAAGTACTTGATTCCTTTTTTTGACACCTAGCTCCACCACATGACTCATGGACCCCTTTTTTGTTCCATTTTAAGGCCGGATCTAGACTATATAAGGTACCAGTATCGACCGTTTCCTTCTTTTTTTTAAAAAAATATTCACACCGTTTCACCTTGCTCCAAACCTTTTAATTAAGGTCTCTCCCTTATCAAATTGAGTTTAACTCATGGTTGGATGGATTTGATGAGAGAGATAAAATATAAGAGTACCCCGTTATGATTTCGGAGTAACAAAGTATGTAATACAGTCAATAAAATTTGGTCTATGTGGTTTTCACTATGGTACAGAAGTCGGGCTAATTAAGGATCAAGTTGAGTTCAAATTAAATTACACTAGTGTCGATTTGAGTTTAAGTCAGGTTTAATTATCGTTATGTAGAATTCAAATTGGATCAAATTGGAGTCAGATTTACTCTAGATTGAGTCAAATTTATTTTCAAGTTGAGTTTAGATTAGTTACAAATCGAGTTTGGTTCTCGAGATCTAATCAAGTCAATTACAGTCCGAATCAGCTCGAGTTGGTTTTTACATTGCTCTTTCAAAAATAGGCAATTAGGCACTCAAGTGGCAAGTGGCCAGTGGCAAGACTAGCAACTAGAAGCAACCAAATTGACAAAAAAAAAAAAAAAAAAAAAAAAAAAAAGCTTGACAACTAAAAAAAACGTTTTTTCAGACCGCTAAAAAAACAATTGATTGATTCTCTTATGTAACACCAATGCTTTAGTCCGTTAGTGTTACATAAAAAAAATGTCAATCCAATTTCCAATACAGTACTAACAACAACATACTTTCATACTTTGTTAGTAAAAACCTTAAATGGTGCCTCTTCTCAGATATTATATGATCCAGCATACCACTAAACCAGAATATACTAAACCAGAATATGTTGAAGAAAAACCTTAATTTTGGATGTCACTCACTATACTATATTGGTGAAGATTGTAGGAGACTAGGAACAATGAACACAAGTGTGTATTATAGTATCAGCACTCAGACAAGCCTCTAGCACGGTTACACGGTCACGCAACTAACGCTTTGTTTGGATAGCAAAGAAGGAAAGAAAAGAAGGGGAGGGAAAATGGAGGAAGGGAAGGGAAAAGAAAGGGAGGGGGAGGTGAGCTCCATTTTCCCTCCAAATCTCTCCAATTTTGGAGAGATTATGGTTATTATAGAGAAAGGGGAAATGGATCCCTCCCTCTCCTTCCCCCAAATCTTTTACCCAAACAAGAGATTTTGTCCCCCTCCATTTCTCTTCTCTTCTTTTCCTTCCATTTCTTCCTATCCAAACAAAGTGTAAAGGAAGCAGACCATAACAATGTCTGAATTTTAGAGACTTTACATTACTCAAATATGATAAAATTTGGTACTGTATAGTGCATATCTAGTTATTTACCAAGAAAACAGAGCTAGTAAATTACTACTGTATTACATAACCTTTTTACAAACATAATATGTATTCTCTTCAATTATGTGCATTCAGTAATCAGTATGTGCTCACTTAATAGGACAGTTCAACCATGATGCACTAACTTCTTCCTGAAATTTCAGTTCATGAGCCTTAGCCTTTAACTTTAATGTCTCAATGTGAGCATCATATTGAGAAAAAAACTCACCTAATTCCGCAATCAAATCTTGGAGGTTACTTATCTCGACTTTAACATCCTCAAGCCAGGAGTTTCCTTCTCTATGTTTATCCTCGAAAGGGTTGGGCTTTAATGCTTGTAACTTAGCAAGTATAAGTTCCAGTTTCCTTACTTCACCTTTTGCACGTCCACGTTCATGACATGCTACTTCATATTGAATTCTGTCTGCTGCGCCTTCTGAACTGACAGCAAGGTTCTTAAGGTGGTGTAGACGAGCACGGAGGAAGCTGACATTCATTCCTAGAACTTCAAAGGTCTTTAAGGCCTTGTCCATTGATTCATACTTTTGGAGGAAGGTGGAGAGCTTGCAAGTACTCAATATATTGGCTAAGTTGACAGTGTCAAATATGATATTTCTAATGGCCCTAACTATGATCTGATTATATACGCCTGTATTGATTCCTCTGAATAAATCAGCATGAAGAAATGCATTCTGACTGCAGCATAGTTGGTAATATTCCTGAATGGCGTAGTGAGGCAGCTCATGGTTTTGAATCAACTCGTGTATGGCAGCTTTGAACTCTTCAAAGCTTTTGATGTTACTGAAAAGTATCCTATCATTAAGTAACATGGAGCCTTCAGCATTTCTGGAATTGAGTCTCGCGCTCTTGCAACTGTAGTTTCCTGCTATTTGATTTTCTTTCCGTCTTCTATACACAATTAGGTGCTTGCTATCTTCTTTAGATGAAACACTTCGCTCTGCATGACTGAGTAATTCAAGGATATGAACAGGCAGACGGACTTCATTAGCATTCTTTCTTATGATGTATACCTACAAAAGAGTTTAGTTGAGTGTTAAATAGTTTAAGGTCACACTTGACTGTTACAATCATAATTGGAATCTAGAACATAATTATAACAAGAAGATAGCTAGATCATGTATCCACGGCAAACAGATAAAATCATGTGATTTTCAGCTGCTATGAAATATCTGTAGGTGTGACACTCTCTCGAATTAAGTTAATAACCAACAACTCATGTCAGAATATGCAACTTTATGCATATTTAAGTGCATAATTATCACTGATAACTCTATATCTACTTACTATTAGGCAGTAGTACCAGTTTTTACCAAGTGAATACCTTTGTTGGTAGGTCTTAAAACCTGATTTTTACAGAACATTTTCAAGGATATTGTTAGCAAAGGACATGCTTCCCAAGGTTGAAATTCCCGCAGTTGGTGTTGAAGACTGATTTCAGTAATATGAGCAAGACAAATAAGAAATGCAAACATCACAAACTATGGTGTATAATGAAGTAATGAACAACTACCTTGAATTTGGTAGCTTCATAAGTGGAAAACAATAGCATCCCTGCTTCCAATTTCATATGCATGGCAAACTTTCTCCAGCCACCACTGAGTATAGAATGTTGCGCCAGATACTTAATTTCATATTGCACTCCAATTTCTGTCTCGAGTGTCATTATAGCATCTTCCAGTGGTAAAAGAGCCCTACAAAATGTCGTAGGAAGTGGCTGTGACACCATCAAAAGAACCAAGTAAGAAGCACCTAAAAATGAAACTATACTCCATATAAATAATAGCTTGTCACATTTATTTATAAAGAGGCTTATAACATGGTTTGAACTTTGAAATACTAACCAAAGAACTACCAGAAGTGTATGATTTCACCAACCATTTCACAGTAACCGGATGTCCAACAATCAGCTTTGATACTTGAACTAAACGGGATTTCCTTAATACCTGTTCAAGTTACAAAAGTTCATGAGATCAAGATGTTTACAGTGTACATATCACTTCTTAGATTACAGCCAAAGGATATCAAATAATGACAACAGATAATAATTTCAACAATTAGCAAATTTTCATCAGCAAAAAATTGTTGGCTATATTAAGGTACTACTTAAAGAGTTAAAGGGTTCAATAAATACTCATACCCACCTGAGATACACGTGTATCATTTCCCCGTATCTTGTCAGCCTTGAACTCTCTTTGCTTCCCCTGCAAATATTCTTGTACTTCCCCTCTCCTATAGATGAATAGCTGACTGCGATCTGCTTTACTAGAAACACTTCGCTTTACACGACTGACGACTAAATTAAAGACATGTACAGGTAGATTGACTTCATCTGAAGAATTTGCCCTTATGATGTATACCTGTAGAAGGATAGAGTTTAAGATATACGCTATGTTAGAACAATTTTAACTGAGTCTAATGAGACAACTAGACAAAAAGCTAGCTACTGTAAGGTAAAGAAGGTATTCAAAAGTGTCACACGCGTATACAAGAGTCATGTATACTATTAGGAAAGAATTCTAGAAGATAACAGAGAATATTCACATACTACGAATGGAATAATCTCCTACTATCATATTAATGTTTTATCATTATTATACATAGCAAAAGAGAGATAGTTGTGTCCTCAAGCTGTTATCTAGGCGGTAAATGAAGTCATAATCCATAACTCTTGAAATCTCCTATAACACTCTTTACTTACAGTTGCTATTGTTACAGAACATCAGTGATTTCAATATTTAATACGTACATTTTTCCAACTTTTTTCATTAATTTACAACCTCATCTTGTAAACCTCCATACACAAGTTTTCGTTTATGATGAAAGATGTCATCACTTTCCTCATAAAAGTGATTTGGGAATAATGTCATCTACTCTCATCATAAAAGTGTTGAATAATAATTTCCAAATCACTAAATACATTACCATAATGTCCATAATTACATTCACCTATGTGAAGATCTAGAACACGGTATCAAGAATATTGATTGACCAATTTAAGGAAGGCCTAGGAGCAACAAACTTACAAAGCTTAACAACAAAACAAATCACGGCTCATAAGTTACTTGGCCTCAATCTGTACAGCTATTGCTGATCTAAATTTCATGTCAATTAATCCAGAAATGAACCATTATTAAGATGAACTAGCTTCAATGTACAGGACAAACAAGGAATGAAAATTACAGATAACAGAATTTTACCAACTACTACCTTGAATTTGGTAACTTCAACCAAGTGTAAAACAACAGCATCTCCTTCTTCCAATTTCATACTCACTGAAAACCTTCTCCACCCACCACTTAACCTACAAGATCGTGATAGAAACTTGACTTCATATCGTTCTCCGGTCTCTGCCTCGAGTACCATAGTAGTATCTACCACCGGTAAATGCGCCTTACAAAAGGACTTAGAAAGTAGCTATGACACCATCAATATTAGGAACCAAGTCAAAAATTAAAACACCTCCAATAACAACAACAACAACACATACTTTGTGTGAAAAAGCCTAAAACAAGTTTGAGATACTAACCAAACAGCAACCCTTAGAAACATTCCAATTCTTCAACCATAGCATGATAACCGGATGTTTAACAATCTTCTTTGATTGAATTCTTTTATTTTCAACCAAATGACATCTCCTTAATACCTGTTCAAGCTACTAACTTTGGTAAGATCAGGGGTTACTATAATAATCTAAATCGTTTTATCAAACAAATGTCTTATTCAGCAAGAATTCCAAACAAAGAACATACAATTTGACAATATTACTATTATAAGGTCTACAATTTTGCAAAATTTCGTCATTTTGAAATAACCCACCTGAGATAATCGAATATATTTCCTTCTAATCTTATTAGCCCGCGATTTTTTTTTGTTTCCCTGCGAAAAAATCAACAACCCAGTAGTATAAACCAGTAAATTACTTGATAAAGTTTGAATTTTGGGTAGTACATTGTTCATATAAAAATAGATGAATTAATTCATAGACACACTTACATAATTCTTGTGGAAACCTTCAAAAGTTATATTCTTTATTTTGCCCTGCACGTAAAAAGCACCCACATTTAACAATCAACGACTTAAAATGCTAACTAATTAATGGGCATATTAATAAGAACAAGAAGAAGAACGAACTGGGTTTCTCATGGCAGAATTTGAAAAAATTTCAGGTGATAAAATTGTGATTTTTTTGGATGTGAAGTCCGAGTTTGATTCTTTGTACGGACACAATTCCCACTTTTGCAGACTGCGGTGTGGGGTGTATAGACTGTATACTACTCTCCGTAGTATGTCAAATCAATATCGTAATAACATAAATAAGCAATGTCAACGAGGTGATGGACTAGGTACTACGAGTAGATGATAGTTACATTTGGTGATTATACGTGATTTTTAAAGAATAATGGAATACATTGCAATATTAGATGTTACATGTATCTAGTATTGAAACATTAGATCAATGTTGAAAAATGAAAATTTGTTTTTGGATAACGTGTATATTTTGGTAAATAGAAATAGTTGCATTGAAAATTTGGAAGTATGTACCTATTATGGAGTAAAAAACTTTTAATCATAAAAAGTGATACATTTGTTAAATACAAGCTTGTGTCGCACTCATCACCAAGAGAGAGTGTCATTCAAGTTGTCAGTTTCACAAACTAAAGAAGATTCTACTTGACCCGATAACCCGACCCGAATGACATGACCCTGACCCAAAAACATCGACCCGAAATTGACCCGACCCGGCCTATACCCGGCCCGAAAATGGAGTTGACTCGATCATGAACCGACACCCGAACTGACCCGACCCGGAGTGTTTGACCCGAACAAACCCGATACCCGAAATTGACCCGAACACACCCGATTCCTGAAATATCCCGAACTAAAATTACTTTATAATTGAACTAAAAATGTCTTGTGCAAAAAATAACTCAAATTGTTCATCTTCAACCATAGCCAAGCTCATAAACCGAATTGATAATTCTTATTATAACAATAATAAAATATAAAATTATTGATTTGAGGTTGCTTCACAAATAAAACAACCTGGATATGACTTGACTTGATTTTGACCTGACCCAAATATGACCCGAACATCCTTGACCCAGAAATGACCCGATCCAAACTCGACCCGATACTTGACCCGAATCATATTCGAAATGACCCGAACCGTACCCAACCCGAATGTTAACTGACCCAAAATGACCCAATCCAAAACTGACTCGACCCATACCCGACACGAACAACCCATTTGCAAGGTCTATCTACTTTGTTTTCGTTAGGGTAAAATGGCGTACTCCATAAGTACTACCTCCGTTACATATTATTTGCAACGATTTGACATAAAATAGAGAGGAAAAATGTCTAATCGTTGCAAATAATATGTAACGGAGGTAGTATATAAAATTGAGGATTCCCAATTCCAAATGGGAATACTCTCCAAACCTAGAAGTCAAAGTCAAAAGTATTGCTTATGAATTTATGATGACTTTCTTCTGATTAAAAAAAAAAAAAATGTAGAAAAATAAAAACAATAAAAACAACAGAATAAAAATTGATTTTGACTTTTCCTTATTGGTGTTAAAAATACAACAATAATACAAAATTAGGAGGCGGTAATGGGGTTGCAGCTTCCATTCAGAGAAGAAAGATATTTGTTCTTGATCTTTATTTTGGCATTTATCTGTTCTGTTTTAAGTAATCTGATCAAGGAATTTGCTTCAAATTTGAAATTTTGTTTTCTGGGCGCTTTAGTCCAATTGTTGCTATCACATTGATCATAGGAAAAGTTGCAGTAATTTTGGGCCTGTTTTTTTCTGTACGTGTTGCTTACTTGCGTCAGTTGCTTGGACATTTTTACACCATTATTAAGTAATGTCAAATTTTTCAAAATTTTATCATTACGGAGTATATAATAAGCTAGTCAAATTAGTGAGTACAAATTATTTAGTCAAATAAGCTCAGTTACAATTAATGTAGCCTTCTTGTCCTCATTTCACTTGCCCTTGAAGTTGGTTGAAGATGATACGACTAATAATTACTCGTATTAATTATTTTTTCAAATGATGATGATATGAACATTTAGACTACGACTAGGTAAAAAGAATTATAATGGTAAAGTCGTAAACTTATACTCCGTAAGTAGTTTTGATTTTCATCCACTAGGTTGAGTTTATTTTGGAAACTATATAATTCTTTAATTCTATATGACAAAAAAAAATTGTTTATAGAATTTTGGTCTAATGGATATTTTTTACAAGAAAAAGACATTAGGTAGTGGACTGTGATTGTCATGGAGATAATAATGACAAATGAGGCTCTTCTAACAAAATGACACCATAAATTATGGTCAATAGACATTATCATATTTATAACGGAGTGACGAAGTGTATTTAAGAGCCTATTCACTTCAGCTTAATTCAGTTATGTTCAGCTCCAATCAATTCAATTCAATTCAATTCAGCTCAATTCAGTTTATGTGAACATGTCTTGTCTAAGAAACACATGTTTAAGGTTTATTGTCACAAATAATCACTACTAGTAAAAATGGTTGCATGATTGAACATTACCAAATTGAATATTGTTAAAAACCAAATTAAATTGTGTCCATTAATGATGGGGGTGAGAAGTATATAGAGTATAAACTCAAATATAATTTCATGACCTAAAAAATTTAAACGATGATTATCTCTCATAGTTTCTATCGTTAAGCATTAAAAAAAATTTATGGTTAAAATTTTTATAGACAATATAGAGTATAAACTCAAATATAATTTTATGACCTAAAAAATTTAAACGATGATTATCTCTCAAAGTTTCTATCGTTAAGCATTAAAAAAAAATTATGGTTAAAATTTTTATAGACAATATAGAGTATAAACTCAAATATAATTTCATGACCTAAAAAATTTAAACGATGATTATCTCTCAAAGTTTCTATCGTTAAGCATTAAAAAAAAATTATGGTTAAAATTTTTATAGACAATATAGAGTATAAACTCAAATATAATTTCATGACCTAAAAAATTTAAACGATGATTATCTCTCAAAGTTTCTATCGTTAAGCATTAAAAAAAATTTATGGTTAAAATTTTTATAGACAATGGTCTATGCCTACAAATATGTGTTATACTCTATCACGCCACCTCACATGAGAGCCCATAGGGTTAGAAGTGTGGATGCAGCCCGAGCCTACCTCATACCCTGTGTTTAATATTCCACTTGAAAATAAGGGGTGAATGAGATTTGAACTCGTGACTTTTGTGTCACGTGGGCTCTAATACCATTTTAATAGACCAATTCAACCAAAAGTTTAAGCAGATGCTTAAGGCTCGCAAACGTATTTTATACTCTATCAAGGATAATCTGTAAATGAAATAAAATGAAATGAAATAAAATGGATGTTTGTTTTAGAAAAACTCAGGAATTCCAAATGTACTTTGCTACAGAATTTATGCATTCATTAAAGAAAATACGGACTGAAAAATAAAAAGAGTCAAGTCAAAGTAATTTAGCGTTGGACTTTTTCAGTTTTTCCTGTTGAATAATTCCATCTGAACCCTTCTCTAGAAGAAACTACAACAGCATTAGCAGCAAATTAAATCATTTTCATGTGATTGCAACCAAAAAAAACAGGTACCCTATATATTTCTATTACTCGTTAATTATCATAGCGACTCATCAATTTCGTGTATTATTTATCTACCAAATCTTTTAGGATATAATATTCTTATACGAGTACTATTTTACTCCAAATTTATTAGCAGATTTATTTGACTAATATATTTAATTGCCAATTTGAGTCTATTTTGTGTTCTAATTTTGTATATCTGTTATTCTTGGATGTCACGTCTAACATCGTCGTCTTCTTCTTTCTCAAGTTTTAGTATTCAACAATTTTTGTCTTCTTAAATTCCCATTTTTTCTGGGTTCATATATTTCTATTTTCTGGGCAACTTTGTATTTTTAGATGTTTTTAATCTAATTTTTTTACAGTAAGTGAGTATGCAAAATACAAGTATGTCAAACAACAATAACGTGGGAGGTCTTTTGAAGATCATATATGTGGTTTTTGCATTCTGTGCTGCCCTTTTTCTAGGCGCTCTTAAAGGTTTTTAATTTCATCTTTTTTCTGGTATATTTTTTCATTTTTTGACTTAAAATTCTAAAATTGATCTGGGTTTTTTAGTCTTTAAACTTTTATTTATAAAAATGCTAATTTGAGTAAGTTGATCAAGAAATTATAAATATAAAATATCCAGTTGATTAATTTTTTTATGTTTTGTATGTAGGTTTGCTGGTGGGTCCAATTGCTGGACTGATATTGATTGTAGGAAATGTTGCAGTAATTCTGGGTTTATTCCCTGTACATGTTGCTTGGACATTTTACACCATTGTAAAGTGAGTAATTATTTGCACTGCCTTAATTACTGTATTAATTTGTGTTAATTGGGTTAAAGAGGCATAATTTGATTAGTGTTTCTGGTGTTTGTTTTGTGTAAATTGCTTGATTACAGCACGAACAGATTCGATGTACCGCTTAAGGTTGCAATTTTGTTGGGTTTACCAGCTCTAGCTGCTATTTGGTTGGCTTTGAGTATCGCAGGAAGTGTAATTGTGGGGGTGGGATATGGATTTTTCACTCCTTGGGTTTCAGCTTTTGAGGCCTTCAGACAAGAGACTGAATCTAATAAATTTCTGCATTGCATTGTGGTAAATATTCTGAAACTGGCCTGTTGTGTGATATGGGTTTGAGTCAATTTTACTGCCTTTCTGAGTTGATCATGTAACTGTCTTTTGTCAAAAATTAGGATGGAACATGGGATACTATCAAAGGAAGCTGTACTGTTGTCCGTGATTTTGCTGATATTTGCATTCATTCATATCCAGTTTACTTGAAGGAGGTTCGTGAATCGACAAGCTCGGATGAGCTTCAGACTCTTAGGTGGGTGATGATCATTGATCAGAATCTAATCTGATTCGCATTATAATATTCTAAACATGAAACTTTTTTGAAATTTGTATTTAAGCCTTGTTCTCTTTTGCCTTATTTGATTTTTAGCCCATACAAGTCATGGATTGTGCACCATAATATGAATAACTTGTCTTTGTTTTGGCTAAATTGTTGTTGCTAATGTAAACTGGTTATTTTGCAGGTTTATTCATGTACCGGCAATCATTGTTGTTGGTTTGATGGGTCTAATCATTGATGTTCCCTCTTACACTGCTATCGCCATAATAAAGAGTCCTTTAATGTTGCTTAAGGGATGGCAGCGCCTAACACATGACCTTATTAGTCGTCAGGGGCCTTTCCTTGAAACAGCTTGTATCCCTGTTGCTGGTTTGACAATTCTCTTGTGGCCCTTGTTTGTTATTGGAAGCATTGTTTTGGCCATCTTCTCAAGTGTTTTTGTGGGATTGTATGGTTCAATTGTTGTATATCAGGTATTTCAAAGTTTTTGGTCTTATTAAATGCATTTCAACTTTTTCTACTTTGGCCCTGAGTTATACTGAGTACAAAATAACCTTCAATCTTGGTATGACACTATGACTATAGGAAAGATCTTTCCGGAGAGGCCTTGCTTATGTAGTTGCAATGGTTGCTGAATTTGATGAGTACACTAATGATTGGCTTTACCTGAGAGAAGGAACTATACTACCAAAGTAATTGCTCTGCCAATCATCTGTGATTTGCTAATTGGCTTTACTATATGTCGATATGAGTCTTTAAATGTTACTATTCTTGCTGCCTGTGGTTTATATATCCGGATGTCTATTGATCATTCCAAATTTTGACAGCCAGGCCCCGATACAGAAAGAAGCAGGCTACAAACTCATCAGAACTTACTGTTCGTGGTGACCGGTTCAACTCAGCTTCCATGGAACCGCCTACAATGCTTATGCCTAGCTTGGGACCTTCTAGATCAGTCAGGGAAACAATACATGAAGTGAAGATGGTCCAAGTATACTTTTCTGGCTCTTAACTATTTTATCTCCTGTCTTTTTTCCAGTTAGTTGAAAATTTTGCTTTTTCTTATTTCAATTAGTGATGAGAAATTTAGAACTAAGCTTCTATCATTGGCATTAAGAAATATTTTGCTAAATGTTTCTCTGCCTTGCTACAACTTTGTTGGTTCATATTCTGTTTGTGCATTGGAGCTTTAAAATGTGGATTACAAATTTGCTCAGACTTGATGCATTATTCGATCTAAGAAATCCATTAAAAAATATTAGTAGTGCCAGAGCAATTTATGCAGGCTCTGTAAATTCCAACTGGCTATGAACTTTTTTTTACTGGCAACTACTGTAACAACATGAACAGTAAAGTTGGTTATGTCTGCCTATCTGCATGCTTGAAGTGTTTGAGGCTTTTGCTTGTGAAGTTTCTTATGTCACTACAAGTAGAGTAGATAGATGAAATTTTGCAGTCTGAAAAATTTTAACCATCTATTCTGATGTTTTGCACCAACTTAATTTAAATTCTTGAAATTCTGTTTTCTTATTACTTGTATAAACTTTGTTTTTTCAGGTGTGGGGAAACATGATGCGTACATGTGAAATAAAAGGCAGAGAGCTTCTTGATGCTAATGTTTTAACCCGGACTGATCTCTATGAATGGCTAAAGGCAAAGAACAGCCATGAAGCACCCATTGTTGGAGTTGGTCTTCCTAGTTATTCAGCTTTGGATACTCTCTTGCGTTCCATCAAGGCCGGGGCAGATGGTATACTGCTGCTTGATGAAGTGATAGTGAACCAAGAGAATAGACCTCATGATAGACTATTAGATTGGTTTTTCAACCCTCTAATGGTGTTAAAGGAGCAGATCAAGACTTTGAAATTGGGTGATGGTGAAATGCAATATCTGGAGAGAGTGCTTCTTTTCGGAAGCCATCCCCAGAGGATGGAGGCCTGGGAAAACGGCTGTGTGATTCCTCAAGACCCCCTCAGAGCTGCTCAAATCCAAGGCATTAGTAGAAGGTATTGCTACACATTTTGTCGTTCTTACTATTATATAGTGATGTAGCCAAACTTATTGCCATAAGAATACCGTTCCAGAATACAGATTACTTCCCTAGTGATTGCTTAGTTATTCCATCCTTTCATCCATCCACAAAGGACCTCTGAATCTCTGATCTCGTGATATAAGTTTTTTTTTTTTTTTAAAAAAAAAAAAAAAATCTGCAGTAACATGTGTGTAGTTGTATATTTGAATATACCTTGGAAGATTAAGTTGGTGCCTGAATCTAGAGATCCTCAGTGTACTTTACTTTGCACTAAGTTACCCATGCTCAGGTAACTCAGTTGGACATGAGTACGAATCCAAGTATCTGACTTGATTCCTTGAAAAAAATAACCCATATTTTTTGTTCATGTTGTTGTGTCAGGGTTCATACCTATGTCAGTGTTAATTGTTAAGGATCCGACCCATGAGTACTTGAGGTGAAATATAGAGTCCGAGGAAGTGAGGAACATAAAATCCACATATTTGGGACTGAATTGTGGTCAAGTTGCTGCTTCTTTGACCTGTAATTATTGGCCATTAATTTGAACTGGTCAAACTGCATTGATTTGAACAACAGATTTGAACTCACATTATTAAGACTGCAATCCTTGTTAGATTACCCGACTCTTAAGCTGAAGCTGTCAAGTCCTTTAGAACTTGTTTTCTTTGACAGCTGAATTTAACTGTCGTGCACTTCCCATGAATTTCTTGTTTGAGCATCTCTTATAGTGAACTATTCAATACTTTCTGTTTAATTACGAAAAAAAAAAGATTGCATCTCTTCAACTAGATTGTGATGGTGAATTATGTGTTTGTTTTGATCCCTCTCTTGTGAATTGCTATAGAAGCTATGATCTTTTCACCTGAAAAGCTCTTATCTTAATTAACTCATTAGTCCAATCATTAAAATTTTGGCCCTTATTTGAAGATAACTTTCCTTATTTGAATTTACTTTATTTGCACTACTTATCTGCAACTCTTTGCCCAAAAGATATTTATTTTTAATTTAGTTTAAGGTGATAAAGAATTTTGCCACATTATCTTTGCATTTATGCTAGTTTCATGTTTAAGGAGTATGGCATGAAACTAATTCCAGTTAATAACAATATGATGTCACACTGTGGCAGGATGGCTGGAATGGCGAGAAGCATGTCAAAGCTTCCCACATACAGGAGGAAATACCGCCAACTTGTCAAAGATTTACTTGCTTATCAATCAGAAAAGGAAGGCGTCTCAATCAAGTATGAGTCTGTAAGATCCATTGCTTCAGTGGAACTCGTGTAAAATTCACTGTTAGTTTTCACAATTGTATATAATGCAATCTGCAAATAGATAGGCATTCTTTGTTATGCTTTGGTGGTTGATAGTTCTTGTACACACACCTCTCCAGAGTACATATATCTCAGACATTCTTGCCCATGGCATAGTTAGATGTTTATAATGTATGAACTGGTTGCTTGAGAATATTACAAAACTTCCTCTTTTGGGATGTTATTGAAAAGTAAACTCAATTTATGGTTCCTGTCCTTTGTAACCATATTAAATGCTTGGTTAATTACGTGTTTTAGACTATATCATATGCACCAGTATACGGGTATATATACCAAAATTTGTGTACTTGTAATGCTACTTTTAGGATCATCATACAAAGTGCTCCCGAATACATGTAACAATCTATTCCTCGAAGAACGGATACTTTTGGCTAGATATTGCTACATCATGTGGTGGATTAAATGCTTCAGGAGTTAGCTTGGGCATTGTACAAATTGTTGTACATCATACCATTAATTTTTGTCTGCCTTAAATTGCTATTCATATGTGGTTTATTTATACAGAGTACTTAAAAGTTTTGAAGTAAGGAAATTTCCTTTCTTACCCCCGACACCAAAATTGCGGACCTCACCCCCATCTATTAATCACCCAACAACTACAAAAATTGTACTACTATAAAGTTAAGGAAAGAGATAGTTTGTGTATCATTCTTGTCAAGCTTCTTGATGGATTTTTGTTTTACTAATTTCAAAAACAAATTTTACATCAGTAATTAGGACCACGGATAAATTAAACGGTAAAAAAATAATTAATTTTAGAAAGGGAATTAATTAAGAATGAAAAACAAGGTGTTACTATCATAGTTGATAAACACTTTTTGTCATAATTTAGTAAAGATACAGTCATAATTTAGTAAAGATACAAAACTTAGTTCTCATCAAAAGATGCCAAGTGAAGCACGCAAGTAAATAATACCTGTGATGAAAATTGCTGCTCCTCATTCAATTAATTGTTTTGTTTGTATGGACCATATAATTATTATGTTATCAACAAATGGATTGTACAAGTATAATGCAACAAGTGAGCAGGGGGGGAAGCTTCATTCTGTCAACGAAGAAAATGCAACTCCAATCAGAATTTTTGGTTCAAAGAAAAAAAAATTAAAAGTGTATCCTTAAATTTTGTGAGGATGTCTATATTAACATGTACTGTGTCTGTCAAAAAAAAAATTATTGTGTACATGATTCGTATGATGAACTATATATCTACAAGGATTACCATTTGGGAAAAAAATAAGTGTACGTGAATGTAATGTGTATATAAAAAATTAGAAAATGGGATGCGGAGTAGATGGATAAAGTCTATGATGACTAGTTAGTTATTGGAGAGAAACCCGATCTATTGATAACATTTTTGTTTGTAGGATCGAGTTAAAACCTAGCTAAAACATGTGTATTACGGAATAATAAGGGTCTATTCTGATTTACTGAACTGAGCAGAACTGAATTGATTGGAGCTGAACTAAAATGAATTGTTTATAAGTGAAGGAAATTAAAAGCTGAACTGAATTGAACTAAAGTGAAATTAAGCTGAAGAGAACAGACCTTTAAACGATGTAAAAAAAATGAATGTAAAACATAGGAGCAGAACAGAAGGTGGTCAGTGGTGCAGGCTTATGATATTCAGATGAAGGAATGAAAGATGTCATCTTTGGCTGAAATTAAGCAACTCTACTCTACTCCACTTGAGAAATGCTGCAAGCCTGACAGTGTTGTACTACTTGCGCTTGATCCAAGATTCAAGACACTGGGATACTAACTGCTTCCTTAGTCCTAGTCAATTTGAGGTGGTTAAAATCACGAATGCATGCACGATTGTTCACCAGTACTAAACAGGGTAAATTGTACTCTCGCGCCATCACTCTTTAATAAGTGTTCATGAACACTCATTAGAAAATCATGTAAAAGATATGACTTTATCGCATATAATTCTAAATAAATAATGGACCGAAAGTATTATTACTTTAATTATCGAAACTCCCTTTATTCACCCACGAATTAACCAGATATAAAAAAAAATTATTTTTAATGTATACGTGAGATATAAAATAAATTAAATAGGAAATTAACCCAAAAACTAAATAAAAATAAAAGGGTAAACAGAGTAAAAAAAAAAAAAAAAGGGTTTTGGGATCTCCTGGATTCGTTCGTTCCTAAGTTGTCACCTTGGAAGCAGCTTCCAGTACACTGACAAAGGTCCAGTACAGTAGCAAGTACGTACTACGGAGTATATAATATTAATATACATCCAACACATAAGTTATATACGAAGTAACATAATTTTGGACTGGTGGGAAAAAAATATTACAGAAAGTACTGTAATAAAATAAAAGCCATTGCATTGCATGGTCCATGGATTTTAATCATATGATGTTTATAACTTCCAAAGCATAACGTTGGCAAAGCACCTAGAGAATGACAAAATATAATGATGCTTCTCTAAATTTATTACCGAGTACATATGCATGTTTTAATTGTTTTACTGTGCGATGAAATTCACATTTGGATTTTACTATTTGCCAAGCACATTATGGTGATATTATTGAGATAACTTTTATGTGTCATAAACATTAATGTGAAGAAATCATTATAAAGTCACATAAAAACATATTCCCTTTTATTGTATCAGGTACTAGTGAAAACATGAACCCATCAACGGATCTTGGCCAAAAATGTTAGAGGGGCCGGTATTTGAATCTCTTTTACCTCTAGCTTAAAACTAATCACTATGTCCTAATATTTTAAAAGTGAAATTAGTTCTTTAAGTTTATAAACTAATTAATCTATCGGGGACAGACCCCAAATGGCCCCGGTGAAAGGTCCCCCTCTGCATGAACCTATGATAGCTACGAGTATAAGTTCATAGTAGGATAGAATTTACTAGTGTATTTTGTATAGTAAAACATACCATTATTTGATACAATAATAGGCTCACTATGCATTCATCCATGTTGATGGACCCCGAAGCTAGCTTAGGCTTGGTTGGTATATAAGGTCATTTATAATTATATGTGTTGGATTTATAGAAGATGATCTTGGTTTGTCCACGTCGACAATTTTAGTATCTACGAGTAAGTAGTGAGCCAGTAAAATTAGAATGTGGGGCTACATTTTGGACAAGTTTTAATTTCCACTAAACAAAAAGAATGATAAATTTTATGTTTTTTTTTAATTTGGGGGTTTCAATTTTACATAATTTTTAGCCAAATTAATCAAACCCACCAAATCAGAAGATGCTATTGATTCAGTTTCAACGTCAAACCCCTAATTAATAACACCTTCCATCCTCTGACATTTTCCTTTCTAAGTACCAAGATAAGTATTTTTCATTTTGGATACCCTTAATTGCAAGGCATTACATATTTCTAGAGAATCAAACTATAAGATTCCACTCTTCCAAACATTCAGACACACATTATTTTAAACACATAAATATGTATACATGAAAAAAAGAATCTTATTGAGTGTCCAAAATTTTCATAATTTAATGTTTTTAGTTTCAAATGTGCATAGGATGTTTCTACAGTGGTCCATTTCAAATGGACTATCACTATACTTTAATCTCATTGGTTGATTTTATCTTTTTTTTTAAGCATGGTCAAACCTTAAATTAAGTATTTTCATTTTTTAATTCTTTTTTTATTTACCAAAATCTTTTTTAATTACCAAAATTTAATTACTTTATTTCCAAAAATCAATTTATAATTTTCGAAATTTATTTAATAAATTCAGTTTTTAATTAAATAAAAAAACAAGATTAAATAAAAAAAACAAAAATGAAAAAAAAATCATCAAAGTTCTTCGTAGTTCATCGACATTCTTCACCGTCTTTCAAATTTGTGCAACAATCGAAGAATTTCTCCACGGAATTAAGAATTACAGTCGTGCATCGATGAAGAAACCGTTAGAGAATATCTGCATTCGTGCGTGGATGGAGAAAACGAGATAAGATCTACAATCCCGATTCATAGCGGTGTTAATTGTAAAGAAATTGTACAATATAAATCAACGGATGCAAAAAACATTGAATTTATGTATTCGATCAAAAAACATTTGATTTATTTTGGTAATCTAAGTTATTCAAGAAACCCAGTTAAGAAACGCACTATCTTTTCTTCGAAACGTTGTTTGATCCAAAAAATTTCAAGATCGAATTACAAATCGTGTTTGTGTGTTAGGAATTCACCCACGTACAAATTGGACATTACCTATTATGGACATCTTACATATTAAATGGTTATGCCCTTACATTATGTTGGACATTACTATTTAATTTAAATTAATGTGCGACCAGTAGAAAATAACGTTACCAATACTTGTGTAAAATTTAAATTCAATCTCTTGTCAAAAAAAATAATAAAAAATAAAAAATTAAATTAAATAGCCTCAATATCTTTTAGGATATCTTTTAACATAAGAAATATTATTTAAAAACATTTCAATCACCAATGATAAAAAGGATAGTTTCCTAATTTCTTATCTTATTATTAATGTATAAAAGATTTTAAGATAGTATAATTTTCAAATTCGAAAAGATTATATTCTAATATTTTTAGAATATTTTAACGCTGCACATCTCCATCGCTGTACACGGAAAACTCTTTGCAAATTTTGCGGCTGCCGAATTTTGTGTTTGAACACCAACCATGGTTAAAAAGAAAGCAGATGTAAGTGTACTTAAATCAGATTTGTTTATATGTATTTGTACTGTAATTTAATTATTAAATTGTGTAATTTTTATTTGATTCAATCATATATATAGGGTTTATGTATTGAAATTATTCAAAAACAAATTAATTGCATAAATAATCTAGGGTTTATGTTCTCGATAAAGACTTGTAATTTACTGAATCATGTGTAACATCAACATCAAAATTTACTTGCTTTTTCCTTGTAGAAAGATAAGGAAATGATAAAAGACATTCACAGCAAAGTGTCAAACATGGAGGCATCATTGGCTGCACTACTTACCGAAATTGCTAGTATAAAAATTTTATCCAGTAGTACGTCCAAGGTTCCAAAATCAATTGGTACGACCAATCAAAATCAACAACTCGTAAATCGCTCTAAGTCTCCTTTCCTAAGCCCAAATGGTGAGTTGATTGTTAGTACACGTGTCTCAACCACTAAGCGAAAGCTAGATGTGGACAACACCCTAGATGTGGATAACACTCTAGAAGTGGTGGAAAACACTGACTATGAAAAA